ATCCACTTGCCTCGGCCTCCCAAAGTGCTGGGATTACAGGCTGAGCCACTGAGCCCAACCGAAAAAAACCCACTTACTTTTGCCTTCCCATTTAAAATGTGTGAATTTCATATAGTCCTGTTATTTTAGGAATTTCACAGACCTATTATGCAACTGAAATAAGGTGCTCCCTGAAAGCATCCAGTTTGATTGTATTATGCTGCTTGCTGATCCTTCTACATTTTAAAATAAAATGTCCTGGAGGATTAGTAAATAAAATGTTAGTTAGTCTTTTATAAATTAAGCCAAGTGCAATTGACTTCCTTTTTTCTTTAATGTTTCATGACCACCCAAGATTATATTACAACCATTTACAGTTGCTTATGCTTTTCTTTTGTTTTCTAACATTTAGAATGCTACACTTTGTATTATTGTACAGTATCTTTCTCAGATGTGTAGAATTCCTTTGTGCAGCTCAGTAGGATTATGCAGAATATTCAAAAATGTGATAGCCATATTAGTGCCAATCAAATGGAAAAAATGTAGTCCTGATAAACAAAAATTTTATACAACATACTTTAAAATCTTAAGGAATTTTCTTATTTTTTCCCCATTAAGTATTATTCTTTGAACAAAGTTTCCTGATGCCTTTGGTTTTCTTTCTATTTGATATTTTGCTTGTAGTTTTTTCTCTATCATTCTATTAAAGCATGAAAAAATTATCATGTACTATGTGGGGGATGTTGTAAATATTAACTTTTTCACATTTTTAAACAGATAGCTTTGTATTCAAAAACTTTGTTTTGTGTGATCTTTTAATTAATAAAATTTTCTTTGGATAGGAGAGTGTGAGTGTTCTGGGGTTCAGTGTCATAGCCCTGGCCCAAGAGTGTTGTAATTTTTCAGATTAGTGATGCCATGACTAATAATTCAGAAGCTTCTTTTTAAGTGCAGAAAGAGAATAGTCAGAACACTTGTTTTTTGTTACGCTTTCTCTCCAAAACTAAAGTGTTTACTATAACTTTTATTTATTTATTTACTTTAAGGAAACACATCTATCTTGGCCTTGGAACCCAGTAAAGAGGGGGGGATGTAAAACCAGAAAGAAAAAAAAAAGGATACCCTGAGAATCTCTAATAAGCCATTTGGCTTAGAGGCCCAAATTCAATCTATCTTTGCAATACAATAAACCTTAAGTGAAAAATTTAATCTGGTCCTATGGTTTATAGTGTCTCCAAACAACTTGCAGAAGTAAATTCTAATACTCCTGGAAAACTCAATTTTAACCTCAGCCTCAAAGAATCCTTAGGCTTACAACCCCAGAAACATGAATTCAGAGTCCAAAACCCCAACCCATAAAGAAACAGGTATCATGAGCAGAAGTTTTTGTTTTTGAAGAGATAGCACAAAAAGATTCACAAATTTGTCAGTATTTGATTTAACAGAAACAAGATATAAACTAAATGATTTGTATACAGAATTATAAAATGACTTGAAAAGAGAATTTATAAAAATGAAAAGTAGCCAGGCTCGGTGGCTCAGCCTGTAATCCTGCACCTTGGGAGGCTGAGATGAGTGGATTGCCTGAGCCCGCGGATTTGAGACTCACCTGGGCAACTTGGCGAGACCTCATCTCTACAATAAATCAAAAAAATTAGCCGGGAGTGGTAGCACACGCCTGTAGTTCCAGCTACTTGGAAGGCTGAGGTGGAAGGATCACCGGAGTCCAGCAGGTCGAGGCTGCGGTGGCCGGGAGCGTGTCACTGCACTCCAGTCTGGGTGACAGAGTGAGACTCCAACCCAAAAAAAAAAAAAAAGAAAAGTACTAGCAATTCTAAAATAAAGAACACAGCAGAAGGACCAAGAGAAAAGGAGAAGAAAGTGAGAAAGAGATATCCTAAAGAATGATGAAAAAAAGGGGAGGGTTGGATGCAGTGGCTCATGCCTATTATCCCAGCACTCTGAAAGACGGAGATGAGAGGATTGCCTGAGCCCACAAGTTCGAGACCAGCTTGGGCAATTTGGCAAGATCTCATCTGTACAATAAATCAAGAAAAATTAACCGGGTGTGATGGCACACGCCTGTAGTTCCACTCTGGAAGACTGAGACGGGAGGATCGCCTGAGCCCAACAGGTCGAGGCTGTGGTGGCCGTCTACTAGTATAACTTTTAAAGCTAGAGGGAGACCTGGGGGAGATGCTGGAGCAGAGGGAACCCAAGACTGCTTTCACTCCTGATAGTGGATTAGGTCATTCAGACAAACCTCCTCAGAAAGGAAGCTAAAATATATGGATAAAACAATATTATCCCCCAAACATTAACACTAACAAGATAGGAATTGCCAAGTTAAAATCTGGAAGAAGAGAGAAACTCACACCGCCAGGTCCAACATTTGGAGCTTCTTTTGCCCAGGGAACATTTGATGATTTGGGAAGGGAGACAGGAGTGGAAAGGGCTAGAGATCAAGGGCAGGGAAGTCTGCAACCATCCTACACTTAGAATTGTGAACTCAGAGGGTTGGATCCTAGGGTAAAGTGAGAGCTGTAACTAAAGCATCCTGCTTCAAGTTGTCTGGGTGGATGAGAAAAAACGCAAACCCTGAAACTAGATTAAGCTAGATCTGGATTAGTACCCTCAGGCCCCAGGTAGAAGCAAATGAAAATATCTGGTGTAAGAAAATGTTATTCTATGTATTCTACAAGTACTTTTTAAAAATACAATATCCATGATCAAAGAGACATGGGGGAAAAAAGGCAATTTTTTTTGTTTATCAAAAAGTGAATTGGCACAAACAACAGAAAAGGATCCACAAAACCCCTGAGTTACCAGCCATACATCATGTAACTTTAAAAAAATCAGCAAGGAAAGCAACAATAAGATGCTAATACCTATTAAAGTGGTTAAAATCCAAAAAACCCGACAATACCAGTTTTTATTTATTTATGTTTTTATACAGGGTTTTTATTTATTTATGTTTCTATACAGGGTTTTTATTTATTTATGTTTTTATACAGGGTCTTGCTCTGTCACCCAGGCTGAAGTGCAGTGGCACAATCATGGCTCACTGGGCTTAGGTGATCCTCCAGCCTCAACCTCTCAAAGTGCTGGGATTATGGGCACGAGCCACTGTGCCCAGCTCATCAGTTTTTGGTGTGGGAGCAGATCAACAGGAAGTCATTCATGGCTGGTGACAATGCCAAATGGTACAACCATTTTGGAGAATAGTTTGGCAACTGTTTTATCCAACTGATAGATGTAGATAATCCACCCTCGATGTGGAGCATAACTCTCCTCTCTATGTTCTTGGGCAGCACATAACAGTTTCCTTCCAGAGTACAGAGGGGATAGGGAGAGTAACTTTTACAGTGGAGAAACCTGACAAACACGAACTCAGCCAGAGGCACTACTCAGAAGATGACAATGTCTAAGTCAACAGTGATAAGTCATACTGATGATAAGGACCCTTCTTATGATGTAATAAAAATGGCAGTTTACCTCTGTGATCTTCACAAAACCCATAACCTCACTCCAGACATGCACGAAGTATCAGATAAATCCCTACAGGTGAATGGTTTACAAAATGCCTGACCAGTACTCCTCAAAAGGAGTCAAGATCATCAAAAACAAGGAAAACTTGAGAAACTGTCACAGCCAAGAGGAGCTCAAGGAGACAGGACAATTACATGAAATGTGGTATCATAGGAAAGAAAATGCACATTAGACTTAAAAAAAAAAAAAAAAAACAACTAAGGAACTCTGAATAAAGCACGAGCTTACAGAGCCAGACAATTAAGTTTACAAACTTGCCACTACACACTATGTTGGCAGCACTGTACAAATAACTCGATAAGGTTTCATAACTTTGGTATATAAGCATCTCACAGCTCTGTTTGTGTTGACATGGTGTTGTCTTGCTGAGTGGCGTTCATTATTGTTGCATGTTTTTTCATGCCATCACAAGAGTGTCAGAGTTTGAATTAGAGCAATGTACAAGCATTCAATTTCTTGTTAAACTTGCCAAGAGTGGAAGTGAAATCACGGACATGTTAGTCCAAGTTTGGGGGAATAATGCCATAAAGAAAATGGCGGTGTCCAAATGGATTAGACATTTTTCTGAGGGGAGAAAAAGCATCACTGATGAAAAGAGGTCAGGATGATCATAATGAGC